GTGACCTGAACTGCAGCCGACTCACCCGGAAAGCCAGTTGCGTCATACGGCGCATTTATACACCAACTGCAAAACCTTCACAATTCAAATCATACAGTCTCAAACCCGATACATTCCTACACCACGCAGCGCGATTTATATCTGGCTGACGCGCTTATCAGGCTTTCTACCCAGCCTTCAAGAATATTCACTGCACTACTTTCTATACCCGCGTCATATTATCGCCACTGTGTTCTGCTACCATATTTGGGTTATCAGGAATAATGGCTATCATGACCTCTTGACCTCTCCTCTCAGCGTTGACCAAAAAACGACTGTGCACGACTATTTAACGATCGGGGTCGTAGAAAGATCGTTAAATGGTCGTAATATGGTCAATGGGACTTTATACATTCAGAATGGCAGTCGTGTTTCAGTCGTTGTAAGAGTCGTGATGAGGTCGTGCAAAATAAACGACTCGATCCAGACTTCTATACGCCCCAAGTCAGACCGATCAACGACCTGCCCGTGCACTGTGAATCGTGGCAACTGTAGTCTGCACTACAGGTTACACCACGTTACACAACATGTATGCAAGGACATTATACACCTGTCCTGTTGATGTATGTCATCATTGATGCCTTCATAGATGCCTTGTCTCTCTGCCTTTGGTAGCTACTATACATTCTCTATGGTATAAGGGTAACTTTATGAACGACTGGATTATGATTATGATACTATTGATTGTCTTCGTCAGAAGGACTATGAAATTGTCTCGCCGGAGTGTGGGGAACTGCGGGTTTTGCGATATAACTCTGGAAGGCATGATTCGACGTCCATGATTTTTGGCAGGCAGATTACCGCTGTTAAGGCCGAAGTCAAGTACAAGTTTCGGCTTCGTGGGGGGTCCGTGCGTTACGTTAGTGCACATTTTGTGTTTGTGGCTTGTTAGCAAGATAACTCAAGTATTTGTAAAATGTTGATTATAATTCTTGGTGTGGTGCTTACTATTATCGGGACCAAGGTTAAGTTCGTTACTGAGCTTCGTGGGGGGTTTTGTTGTGTCTGGAGACCTTAAATCTAATTACCTTAAATTTAAGGCAAGCGCGCAATAAAAACACGAAGGGCCGAAAAACGAGATGCCTAGATTTGGAATATACTAACTGTAGAAGTACAAATGTTAGGACACAAAGAACACAAGAAACAAGTCTTCTATTCGTCATAAAGACAAATTAACAAAACAGCAGTAGTCACCCTGTTCTGATTCTTTCCTTTATAACATCTTCTCTTATTATATTTTGCGGCACTGTCGTGACACTTTCAACACAGTAAGAATTTCTTGAACGTTTTTTTTTCCAGTAACAGTCCAAACTCAAATAACGTAGGGGGGGGGTGACGACGCATCTGTATAATCTGCGGCAAACCGTTTCAGGGTGTTCTGTACCATAAAAATAGTACAGAGATTCTTTTGTTCTTTAGACCAAATTGATTATTAAAAAGAGTGAAGAATACGCATGTTAATTTCTCTAGAACGATGTACCTCTGACGAAGACATGAGATCTTCGACCTCTAGTTATGATTGATGAACAATCAATCAATCCTTGATGAAAAGAAATTTCACCTGAAAAGCTCAGGAATCCTCCTTGATTCATCGCATGTATGTGGTTCCAGTTGGATGATCAGGAGTGTTAAATCCGATGCAACTGTTTCAATGTTTCGACAATGAT